TTATCTTATTAAAATAATATCAACAAGCGTTTCACAGCTTAGGCACTAAAAACATTTATTTGGTGATGAAGAAAGTAGACGAAATAAAAACAATAGCTTGATAAAGACTGTATATAATAGTCATGAAGATTAGTCTGCATCGATTCCTTACTCTGATAGTTAAGGGGCTCTTTTCTAATGTCTAGTCAAACTCCAGCTGCCATTTAAGTCCATTTCTGAGTCCTCTCTGGGGGGATGAAGACAACTGTCTCGCACTAGACTCAGAATAGCTCTTCACAGATTTTACTGATGTGCCTACTTACATTCTGTTCCTTTCCTTGAGAGGAAGATTTCATGTACCTTTGCTCCTTGGTGTTACTGTCTATACCTCTTATATAAATTTTACTATCTCCGGATACTTTTCCCTAAAATGTGGAAACTGAAACTGAACAACATTTGAATGCAGTTTGTTCAGAATGAACCACCCTGCAGTAGAGAGATGATGTGCTGACTCTCTCACGTGGGTGACGACATTCACTGCAGGACCCATGAAAGAGCCCATGCTTGCCGTAATTAGCTAATTACAATAAATACAGTAATCCCCCGCTTCAGAAATAGGCCAGCTAATTATTCAAGAATTGTCACTAATATAAACAGTCAGTTATTCAAATAATCACTTATGTGTTCATAACATCAACTCAAATATGCAAACAGATGCATTATCTCTAGTTCAATGGTAAGGAAGGCACCACTTACCTCACTGAGCTAGAGCTCCTCAGGCCTTAAGGGCCTGCACTAACAATCAGAAAGTGCATTTATTACTAAAGAAAAGCTGCCGTCTGCTCCTCACTCCCTGCCCCAGCTCCGAGATCCTCACTCACCTGCGCAATCTGTATGGGCTGCGACAGGGGAATCTGCGTCATGGGCGTGGCGGCGGAGGCTGAGATGGTGGCCCCGGCGGCGCTGTGCTGCTGGCTGGCAGAATGCTGCTGCACGGCGGCGGCCAGCAGCTGTGCCTGAGCCTGTGCCTGCTGCAGCAGCAACTGTTGCTGGGCTGGCGTCAAAGTGAGCTACACAAAATTAGGACAAACAGTCGGAAAGGATTGAAGGAAGAGGTCCCCCAATGCAAGCAGGCAACTCAAGTGGTGGTAGACCTTGGCTTCCAGCTCCACGCGGTTCGCAGGAGGCTAAATGGTCACCAGTAATCGAGTTACCATCACCAGCAGAACATTTAACTGAAAATGGTGGCCCTCACTTTGGACTTAATCATTCAAGCTTGTCCAGGGCCCTAGGGTTCAGGCAAAAAAGTAATTAACTAGTGAGTAAGGAAAAAAGAATCAATGCCGAGAGGATGTGAACAGAAATGTACACCCAACAGGGCAGCACGTGACTAGTCCAATGAAGGAGAAACCAGCTGCTGGCCCGGACCACAGAAGGACTGGGGGCCCCACTGCTTCCCATCAGCANCAGGAACATTAAAGATTATTTTGAACACATGGTTAAAAAAAAAAAAAAGTGAAGTGAAAATTTCCAACTCATTCCCTGATAGTTTTATTGATCTTAAAACTCTTAACATCTTATTTGCCTAAAATTCAATCTTGTTAAAAACAACTTGGGCAAGAAGACATGAAACATTAAACTAATACTGACATGTCTCTAGTATAACCAGAATGTCTTCTCTGATTGGCCAATTCTTTATTTTAGGAAGGAATGGATGGATGCAAGTGAAGAAGCATTCTAAACGGAAGCAGCTGGAAATCCCTCTTCACCCAAAACTATTAGGAACGGCCAGTACATGGGACCAGAAAACGGCCTCGTTCATGAAAGGAGCAGGCTGTCCTTTAAGTGGAGCGGGTATTTACACAACCAAAGAGTTTGGAATGAATGATCAGCAAAAAAGGCTAATGAACATAAATGAGGAGGACCCGACTGAAGCCTTGACACCCTGATACCCTCTGCACAGATTCCATTAACCAACCTTAAACACACGATTGAACTTGATTGTTGACACAACAGTATGTACCACTGAAAGGCTACAACGATGTTTTTTATAATTTACAAAATGTGCACAATTTCTAACATTGCACCCTCTCCTTCTGAAACTTTAAACATTCTTTTAATACATTCCCATGAAAAACTATCGAAACATTAGAAGTAATTTATCCAATTTATATTCAGCAAGTTGAAGGATTTCATTTAGACTCCTGGCCCAACTCTCGGTTCCTCCTTGGTGACTAAACAGATGAATGGCAGTGAAGAATAACCTTCAGTAAGGTGGTATGCATGACAAGAAATATTTTTCTTAACACGAATACTGACTTTAAAGGTTGATAACATGTAATAAAAGCACTGCTCTAACGGGCAGTTTCCAGGCCGCATGAGCAGTCCCCACATCCCAGACGCGGCCGGCTCACCCTGCTGGCCCTGGGGCGTCTGTGAGATGATGAACTGCGCTGGCTGCAGGCTGGTGGTCGGGTGCACCAACACGAATTGTTGCAGGTTGAGATTCTGCTGTTGCAGCTGTTGTAGTTGTTGCAGATCCTAAAAAATCAGAATGACAACGTGGACTGGAGATTCTGAGAGAAAAGCTCGCTTCGTCATAAGGTTCCCAGATGAGGAATTCGCTCACATCCAAAGAAAGAAGGGGCGATGCTTTATACTCTCACACACGTCCAAACAGGCTGTGCTCTGGTGTGTTCCACAAAGCCTGTGATGAAACCTAGAGCGGCTACGAGGACTTACTACTTTTGTTGGCATATATTGTGTCATGACATACACTGAGCCAAATTTTCAATAGTTATTTAAAATTCCCACAGAATAAATGCTTAGAGTTGTGGTTTTTAACATGCAGAGACTAGCATGTTTTTCTTTAAAAAAATCAAGGGAGAAAAGAATGTTGAGTTTTAAAATAGTTGATTGATTTTTCTCATTCAATTATTGATTGAGAGTGCTGTCTGAATTTGCATAAATNCATGCAGTTTTTTCCCCACCTTTGTAATTAGTTCTTTGGGATAAATTCGCAAAGGGCTTCCTGGAACTGGATAAAGGGGACTCCATAAGCAATTTTACAGCCTCTGAGCCACAGCACAATGTCGGTTCTCACCATACAATGCTCTCCACATGATTTGTTGGTAGTTTTAAAAATGTTTTGCTAACCCAGGAAGTAAGTAAATGGTACTTCACTGGTGTCTTAATTCCCATTTCTCTTATTACTCAAAGTACACATTTTCCATGTGTGAATTACTATCCGTATTTCCTTTGATGTGAATTAGATTTACATCTGAACCTGTTTATTAATGATATCCTTATTCTCATCCTTAGCCTTAAAGAGCTCATCAAATGTTACAGATTAAGCCTTTGTCTGTTGTATTCATGCAAATAATTCCCCGTCTGCCTTTTTCCTTTTAGTTTTCAGTGTATGTAAGATTTAAATTATCACTGGGTAACCTTTTTTCCCCCTTTCTAATATCATCTGTTGCTTCAAATCTGAGAAAGCTTTCACTTATTTCTAACTCAGATAAAAATTTCTTTTATTTTCTGCTAGCTTCTTTTGTGTATTTTAAAATAATTATTGAAATCCATCTAACGTTTATTTGGGGTCATGAGGGTGTAATCTTTCTTCTCTGTAAAACAAAATATTCCATTTCCTCATTACACAGCACAGGCCCTGGCAGCTGCCCTTTGAGTGACCACCAGGGCAGTGCTGTTCTTACTGCACCCTCACTGCTCAGCCAACCCTTCCTGGGGACAGTGGCCCGTAAGGGGTCACACACCGGAGTTACAGACGAAGTCTGCAGCTGAATTTTCTTCCAGTCACTCAAATGGGTCGTACATGCCTGACTCGGACCTCGTCAGTAATATGCTCTCTCCAGCTGCAGCACCTGGCCCAGAACAGGCATTCCGTGGCCACATCTGGGGTAGTGCTATCATCCTGCTTCAACGAAGACAACCAAGTTCATCTCTATGACATGGTGATGCTGAGTAATTTTTATGAGGGCCATCGTGGAGGAGGACCAAACAGCACCAGCTATATCAGAGTCCCATGTGGCTGTACAGTCCCAGTGAAGCTGGCTGACAGGTGGAGGTGAGGCTCAGCTATCAGGCTGTCCCTCCATCTGCAGGCCTGAAGTGGCCCTGTGCTCAAATAACAAAGGACTAAATATAGTGTGGGTAACTTTAGGCGGGGTGGTTACAGATACGCTACCCCCGCTCCAGAAACCTCAGGCTGGGCCGGGGCAGATCTCCAGATGGCAGAGTGGAACTCGGTGAGAGGGAGGGAGGATGAGGCTGGAGGTGCGTGTGTGCAGAGCACAGGAAGGGGCTGCTGGTGTACAGGCTCTTTTCACAACACCAGCCTCACTTTTTATGGTTAGCATGTTCACAACTAAAGGCACCATTTAAGTGTGCAGCTTGAGGTGTTCTGACAACTGTATCGAGTCATGTCTCTGCTGCCAAAGCTGAGACTCAGACCATTCCCATCACCACCAAAATGTCCCTGTGCCCTGTCTGCCGTCCGTCCCCAGCCCCAGCCCCTGGCAATCGCTGCTAGGATTTCTGTCCCTACGGTGCTGTCTGTTCTAAAATGCCACATAAATGGAAGCATGCCACAGGCAGTCTTTTCTGTTTGCCTTCTTTCCCTTAGCGTAGCCCTTCTGAAATTCACACATGCTGTTGGACGTATCAGCGTGTCTTTCTTGCTACTGCCGAGTGGCATTCCATCATGTGGATCTGTCAAACTTTATGTCATCTATTCACCAGCTGATGGGCTTGGTGACTATTTCCAGTTTGGGGTGATTATGATTAAAACTGCTATGA